CAGAAAACAAATCTCTGGCTATAGCGCTTTGTTCTAGTGGAGGAAACAGATGATCATACATCACTGCTTCTCCATTTACTTGCTGTGTGATTTGAGGAAAGTTACACAACCTATCTGTGCCATAATTTCCTTATCTGCAAAACAAGAGATCATTGCCCATAGGTTTCTCACATTTTTTAGCTCCTGTGAACAGCTGTTATTCTGGGCCCAGCTTTTTAGGTATGTATATATATATTTTATATATATATTTTTATATATAAATTTTATTATATATAATATATATAAATTTTATTATATATATATAATAAAAAATTATTTAAAAAATATGTTTTGGAGACAAGGTCTCACTCTGTTGCCCAGGCTGGAGTGCAGTGGTGTGATCACTGCTCACTGCAGCCTTGACCTCACTGGTTCAAACAATCTTCCTGCATTAGCCAAATGAGTAGCTGAGACTTCAGCTGTGCACCACCACACCCAGAAAATTTTTGTATTTTTTGTAGAGACAGGGTTTCACCATGTTGCCTAAGCAAGTTTTGAACTCCTGGGCTCAAACAATCTGCCCTCCCTAGCCACCCAGTGTGACCTCACTGGTTCAAACAATCTTCCTGCGTTAGCCAAATGAGTAGCTGAGACTTCAGCTGTGCACCACCACACCCAGAAAATTTTTGTATTTTTTGTAGAGACAGGGTTTCACCATGTTGCCTAAGCAAGTTTTGAACTCCTGGGCTCAAACAATCTGCCCTCCCTAGCCACCCAGTGTTGAGAATACAGGTGTAAGCCACCATGCCTGGCCTTTTAAAATAGATTTGTATAGCTCATAGCCTTGGAAGGTATCGCACAGGGGTGTCCAATTTTTTGGTTTCCCTGGATCACATTGGAAGAAGAAGAATTGTCTTGGGCCACACATGAAATACACTAACACTAACTATAGCTGAGGAGATAAAAAGATTGCAAAAAAACTCATAATATTTTAAGAAAATTTATAAAATGTGTTGGGCCACATGCAGCCCTGTGGGCTGTGGGTTGGACGAGTTTAGTGTAGTGTCTCCCTCCATGGACAGGGCAGATCTATTTCCTGACCAACATAATAAAGATAATGTTTTCTTCTGAGACAAAGGTTGAGCAGGTTTGCCAGTGGCCTGGTTATAAGATTAGGGGTTTCTTAGGGTCAGATTCCTCAGCTGTGACACAAGTCCACAGTGTGTGCAGCATCTACATAGGCCCACCTGCATTGTCTCTGTGGAACTTGGGTGGAGCAAGGGACCTGATATGAACATGAAGTTCATGCCATCTGTTGTGCCATGAGTAATAACCTCTTTGCTTCTGACCCAGGAGTCTCGTATCTTCTGCCAGCATCTGTGTGTGGCAGCTTGACTTATTAGCTGGCAAGCAGGGGAAAATATCAGATCCTTCACAATTTTATTTATATTTATGTATTTATTTTTGAAAATGTATTTATTAAATGTATTAATGCTAAGTTTATTAAATTAGTATAAATTATGGGGCACAAGTGTAATTTTGTTACCTGAGTAGATGTCATAGTGGTAAAGTCAGGGCTTTCAGCGTATCCAGTATCTGTATAATGTACATGGTACCCACGAAGTAATTTCTCATCATCTGCCCTCTTCCCACCCCCACACCCTTCTAAGTCTCCGTTGTCTATTGCTCCATACCAGATGTCCATGTGCACACACACTTATAAGCGAGAACAGGCCTTATTTATCTTTCTGTGTCTGATTTGTTTCACTTAAGATAATGGCCTCCAGTTCTATCCATGTTGCCACAAAAGACATTATTTAACTTAAAAAAATGGCTGAATATAGTATTCTATTGTGTATATAAACCACGTTTTCTTTATCTAATCATCCATTGATGACCACTTAGGTTGATGTCATATCTTTGCCTTGTCCTTTACAATTTTTGATAATAATATAGTTCCTACTTCACAGCGTTGTTGTGAGGATTAAATAAAAGAATGCCCTTGTGCTTACTGTTGATTTGTCTGGAATCCCCGTCTCGCCTCCTAACACATACTCCCTGATCCTGCATTCACATGATATTTGCCTGCTCATTCACTCACCTCCTTTAGGTTTCTCCTCAGATAGTACCTTCCTAGTGAGGTCTATCTCAACATCCCTGTTTAAAATGACAGCTTCCCCCTATTAGTTAGCGTTCAACCAGAGAAATAGAAGCAGTAGGAAACACATATTAAGAGAGGTACTGCAGGAAATTGGCCTATGCAATTGTGGGAGCTGGCTAGGCATGATAAATTTCCACAGGTCAGGTCCCTGGGGAAGGGTGGGCTGGAACTCTCAGGTATGAGCTGACACTGCAGCCCACAGATGGAATTTCTTCTCCAGGGAAGCCTCAGCTCTACTGGTGAAACCTTTCAACTGCTTGAATCAAGCTCACCCAGACCATGTAGGATCATCTTTCTTACTTAAAACCAACTGATTATGGACTTTAATCACATCTACAAAATACCTTCATAGTAACACCTAGATTAATGCTTGATGGAATTATAGAGGAGTGAAGCCTTGACAGGTTGACCCATCAAAAGACCAGACACCACAATACTGGCTATTTTCTTCATCTGTTTATTTTTGTCACCATAGCTATCAGCATCTAATTTACTATTTTAACTTGTTTTTCCAGTTGTCTGTCTCCTCTACTAAAATGTGCATCCCATGAAAAGGGGGATTTTTGACTGTTCACTGTTATCTTATTTGCCTATACAGTTGTGTATATGGGAAATAGCCTATACCATGCTATTATTGACCAATAGCAGTAGATGGGACAATAAATACATGCTAAATTGTTGAATGAATGAATACAACATGCTCAGAAAAGGGCCTGATGCATTATAAGTGTACACTAAATGGTATAATAAATGTGCAAAAGATACCATCCACTTTGCATTTATGCATCTCAATATTATTTTCACACTTTCCTTCTTTGATCCTAGACACCTTTTCAAGGGTGCTAAATCCAGTAGCCTTTGCTAGATCCAGGTCGCATGGAACTCCCCTGCCTGCCCCAGTCTCTAGCCTCACTTGTGGTCCACTCAAATGCATCGGATGCTTCTGCTGCCTGAATTTCTTTAAATCCTTAAATTCCTTTTGCTGCACCTCCTGCCTCTCTTCTCTTGTCCAAGCTGTTCTCTCAGCCATGAATGCTTTCTCCCACTTTGGATTCACCTGGCTCAGTTTTATTCCTCTTTTAACACTCAGTCGAGGTGTTGATTCCTGTTCAAGGTGCTTTCTGATCCCCAAGATGGGTGCCTCCTTTTGTGCCTCCCTGGTGTTCTGCCCTCAGTCTGTCCTAACACCTGGCCGACTCCTACACTCCATTATAATTGGCTTTTTCACTCATTCCACACTAAAATCCTTGAGGACAAGATCATGTCATTTATTTCTGTATCTCCAGAGTATAGTACGACTTCGGGCACAGAGAGATGCACAATACATTTTGGACAAACGTGTAGTTGAATGAGGGCACCCAAATGACACAGAAACAGCTACTTTGCTCAGCAAGGGCAGTGCCTCTCAACCCTTACCTTGCATTAGAATCCAAGGAGAGAGTTTTAACATACAGTGCCTGGGCCTGAACCCCCCAAATTCTGATTCAGCTGGTCAAGCATGAGGCTTGAGTGTTGGTTTTTATTTTTTAATTTATTTTATTTTAATTTTTAATGGAAACTCTATAAAATGAGTTTGATGTGCAGCCAGGGCTAAGGAACACAACCTCTGAGATAGCTCTGAGCTAAGTTTCTATTTTATTTGCTCCCTCTCTCCAGAGGAACAGAGTTACCCCTTTCCCTTTAATTTGAGAGCAGTTTTTTGTTTTTTTTTTTTTCTTCTGGGGAAGCTTTGTACCTGGAATCCTTGCTCAGGGCTCAAAGTTAATGGTGCACCTGTGTTTATGGCCTTGAGCAGCCTGGCCAGGGAAGAATTTGCATTTTTACTGCATTTTCATCATTTACTGAAAAGGATGTATTATGTGATCACAGGCAGATGCTTTGAAGGTAATATAAATGATTCAGAATCTGTCATTGAAACTCACGTTGTTTTTTGGGAATGAGAAGGAGTTTGTAGCTGGGTGGTGGGCTGTGGAGGGTTTAACAGTGAGATCAGTCTGTCAGGGCACCTGAATTTCTTCCTTGTTAACTACCTTCATCTACACATGGTGGTTAAGAGAGAGTACTCTGGAGTCAAATACCTGAGTCTGAGTCCAAGCTGAGATGTTTAACAACTTACTAGCCTTGTAATTTCTTTGTGCCTCAGTTTCCTCAACTGTCCCATAAGGCCATAGTGCTACTGCATACAATTTTGAGGATTAAATTATATGTTGTATATAAATTACCAGACACATAGTAGGTGCCCCAAGACCAAGTTATTATTGCTGTCCTCTCCCCCATGCCTTCCTCTTCACCCCTGGTCCCCAGCTTCAGGTGACATCTGTTTGATCACTCACCTGTATGTACGGAGCAATCCCCCAATTCCAGTGACTGAACCCTTGTTCTCAACCCTGTCACAATGCAATATAGGTCTCTATCTAGGAGTATGGATCTGCTATGATGTGGCGGTGATTAAAAGGCCCACACTTTGTCCATAGAGTAGACCTGCCATTTCCCAGGGCCTTTGGGAATCGATGGGATTCTCTGTGCTGATCAGAGGCAAAAGAACAGGAAAGATTGCTTAGGGGCTGGCCAGGCTTAAGTGAGGCATACCTCACATCCCTCCACATTTCTCTGTCCAAACTCAGTGTCATGGCTCCACTTAATAGAGATGGAGGCTAGGAAATGTAATCTGTCTTTGTGTGCCGAGGCAAAGGTAGTGGAGATGGCAAACATACCACATTCTCTCTGCCACATTCACTGCAGTACAGTTTAACTGTTGACAGATCTAGTTTCTCAAGACATGGACTTGCAGTTTTTCTAGGTTGTACTTACTTGAGATGCTTTTTTCAAACACAGAATGCATTGGTTGTTTTTTCTTCAGAGCAATATTGGCAAGAAGTGAGACGTGATCAGCGTTTCTTTGTGTTGCTTTTCACGGTGACCTTGGTTGGCATTCTCTAAGGACACAGACGTACTGTTGTAAGCCGTGGCTGAAAGTACATTCAGACACAAGAGAGGTCGATGAGAGGGAAGTGAAAAGACAGAGTGAATAAAGAACTTTGTAATTTATCAAGATGATCAAGATGTGAGTACCCAAGTCTTTTCTGAATATTTTTCTTCAAAAAAAGTATCACAGGTGACTAGTGGATGTGGCTTTCTCTCTGGCCAGTGGGAGAAGACATCAGGAGAGAGTTCTGTAGTTTGATTTGTGCGCTTGACAGATATATGTTGAAGTCCTTACCCCTAGTACCATGAAAGTGACATTATTTGGAAATAGGGCGTTTGCAGATGTAATGAAGTTGATACGAGGTCATAGTGGATCAGGGCAGGCTGGAATGCAATGGCTGGTGTGCTACTCGGATGAAGGAGGTTTGGACACAGACACTCAGAGAGGAGAGCACCATGAAAAAGCACAGAGGCACAGACACATAGAGAAGACAGCCACGTGATGACCAAGGCAGAGACTGGGGTGATGCTTCTGTACGACAAAGAATGTCAAGGATTGCTGGACAGCCACCAGAGGCCAGAAAGAGGCAAGAAGCATTCTTCCCTGGAGACTTCAGAGACAGGGCAGCCCTGCTGACACTTCGATTTTGGACTTCTGTTTTTGGATATACTGTTTGTTTTTCAGGTTATCCAAAGTTATATTGATTCTTTTTTTGTTATTGTAAATTTGAAGAAGGAGCATCTTTTGTGAATTCATGCGGAGATGTGGTGTGGGCTAGCAGTGGCCTGGATATGACCGTTAACATCCAGCCTGGAGTACATATTGTGGTTTGCTTGGTAAGGAAGAAGATTTAATAAGATTCCAAACTGATTTTCGTGTTACTCATCCTCACTGTTCTGATCACTGTGTCAAATTCTGACCTTATCCTTGAGGATATTCCCATCTCGTGGGGTGACAGACAAATCACAGGCTGCTAAACCATGTGTACTCGGGGCTGGATAGCAGCAAGCAGAGAGCAGTCACTGTGTGAACACAAACAGGAGCATCTGACACTCAGCACCAGCGAGGTAGGGAAGGGTTGGTCAAGGAAGGCTTCCTGGAGGAGGTGGCTGCTCTGCTGTCACTCCCAGCTTTTTCTAAAGGTAAATGTTGTGCAAATCTTTAAAGGGTTGCAACCCTCAGAGTGCTCACGTACTTGAGACTGGCCCTTTTAGGATGCTTGAGAGAGTGTGGAGTTTTACTGATCATGCCTTTGTATTCTATATTTTTGATGGTTTGACAACTTGAGGTCTTGTTGACATTGGTGGGATTGCACCTCCCTGGACTAGCTAATTTCTAGTGATTACTAACAACTGGTTCTGAGCATGTCTTTCATATGCAAACCAACCAATCCAGAGCCCATACCCCAAGCACTTCCTTTACAGAGATTTTATACTTCAGGCCACTATTTCCCTTATCGCCCCAGGGCCAGGTACCAGTAAGATAGGGGCACCCTCCATGCCCTAGAACCTGCTAAAATTATGCATACTACCCAGTCCTAATGCTTACCCTGTCTCACCCATTTCTCCGGAAACCACAACAAAGGCTCTTGCCCCCAGTTCCCCTTCTCCCCTCTGCCCAGGGGTCAGACCTGCTGCTTCCCTGCGTGGCCTTGCGTAGAGTGGCATGAGCACTGTGAGTGGACTTCTTCCTTCATGACAGTCATTTCTGTGCCTGCGTGTCTTGCCATACCTGATTAAAACAGTCCCGGGTACCCATTGAAAAAAGAACTGATTAAAGGGTTTGGGGAACTGTTTGGATTTCAGAAAGGATGGAGCCTGAAGGGAGAGAGGGATGTGGTAAGAAGGCTGCAGAAATGAGCAGCACTCACATCCTGGGAGACGTGGCAGGGATGAAAGAAGACAGCCAGAGACCACTCGGCACCAGGGACAGAAACCTTGGCTGGGGAACCAGAAACCTATGCTGTTCATCAGCCCTCTGTCGAGTCATGACTATTGTTAGTTATCTGAATTTCCCTACAGGAGGCAGCAAAGGCCCGTGTGCATCTCTCTTGTGGCATTAATAAAGGTGCTTGGAGGGTGAGAGCCAGAGTCCCTGTCCTAAGAAGGTTTTCAGGGAGATAACTCGGAGAGAGTGTGGAGTCCAACAGTACAGTTTTGGGAAAGAAAACAGGCCAAGTCCCTGGAGAACAACAGAAAGCCAATTTGGGCCTCAAAAGTAGCCCTGGCAGCCTTATCAGTCAAAAGGCTTCTCGGAGAAAGCATTTCCAGCACCCTGCTTGTGCTGCCACAGTGGCAACCTGCCCTCCCGTGGGCTCAGCTCTCCCAAGCTCTGATGAAAGGACTGGCCAGGAACACCTTCAATCAATTCCCCTTTATCTCTTCCTAAGGGAGGATAATCCTCTGTTTTGCAGTCTCTTTCCATCCAGCATGTAGCATCTATTGATTTTTATAGTTTTTTTGCCAGTCGATACGGGCGCTGAAGGAGAAACACCTGCAGGTCTGAAGTTCTGAACTTGAAGAAGAAGTTCAGACTCTTGAAAGTAATCACTCTTTTTCTTCTTCTTCTTCTTTTCTTTTTAAAGTGCCAGATCCTATGGGATATAGTACACAGGTCCTCTTTGAGGAATGCATATTTATTCTGGTTTAATCATTTTATTCCTTTCATATCATCACCAAAGCAAAACTCTCTTCCTGATTATTTGTTTATGAGAATACATAGTGGCACAATGTTACATCAAACACCATCTTACGTGTTCTTAGGCACAGACATTACGGCAACAAAAGGTCAAATCATAGCATCTCAGATTTGGAATAATAATTATTTAGGTACTTGTGGCTAAACACTTTCTCCTTTGTCATGTAGTTCAATTCTCACATGGAATCATTTTTTTATGGATTAGGAATTTGAGCTATAGAGGGAAGGTCATTTATTCTATCAGAAAATATCCACTGAGAATCCTCTTTGGGAGCAGTATTATCCTAGGTGCTGAGGATCCAGTGTAACCAGAAGAGAGGAATTCCCTGCCTTCCCGGAACTTATTCATAAGTAAGGCATTCTGGAATCTGACTTGAGCTCAAGTTTCCTGTGATAAGTGCAACAAGAATGATTTCTGAGGCTGTTTAAAGTGAAACTTTGCCACTCCATAGCTGTGCGATCCTGGTCAAATTACTGAACTCACTTAAATCTCCATTTAAGATACAGAAAATGACTGTACCTGACTCAAGGGGCTGCTGAGAAGCTAAGGGATTATGGAGGTCAAATACCTGGCACACAGTAAGGACTCAATAAAAGACAATTGTTATCATTGTGCATGAACAGCTGTAAAGGCTTGGAATTACAAGTCATTTCTTCCCAATTGGTGACAGGAGCAGAGAAACCTTCTCAGAGGAGGTTACCTTGACCTGAGCATTAAAGGACAGGCTGCTATTTTTGGGAAATGATCTTTTTCTATCTGTTAGAAAAATACTTGATTGAGGCCCATTTGATGAGTCTTTTGTGTAATGATATTAATTTCCCATTAGAAAAGTTTTATTCTGGAACTTGTGAGTTCAAGTCAACATATTGAAAGTGAGAGTCATAAAAAGGCAGCTGAGTGACAAGATGCAGAAATGCAACCAATATGAAATTTGGTTCAGTTCTTTTACAAACATTCCTCTACAGTAACAAAGAGTGGGCTCTGTAGTCAGGCAGAAGGCCTGCATTGGACCCTGGTTCCTCCATGTATAAGATGTGTGCCTCAGATAAGTGCAGTAAACCCTCTGGGTCTCAGTCCTTCATCTATGAGTTAGGAAGAACATTTCGTGCATCTTGGGGATAATGCTTATAAAGCACTTAACATGATGCCTGGCTAACCAAGGACAGCTGAAAACATAAAATTAATGTACCCAAGACTGGTTTCTTCTTGCATAATCACTTTGGTTAATGGCACAATGTGGGGAGAAGAGCCTTGTGTCCAGTCCTGGTCTTGTCCCTAACTCAGCAATGGCCATAGGGTAATTGATTGCCCATTCTTGGTTTATATTTTCTCCTCTGTAAAATGAATATTGGCACCAAACCTGGGTGCTTGGACCTTTTCTGTAGCCCAGAGGGGGTCCTGGAAACTGCTCCAGGTGTTTTCATAATTCCCAAAAGTCTGCTGGATGGGTAGGCTAAATAAAAGTACACAGGCTAGGAAAAATGATTTTTGTTGTATCATTCCTTTGTTAAAAATTCTCCAAGGCTCTCCATTTTCCTTGGGGGTAAAGGCCAGTGTCTTTCCAACATCCTACATGGTCTTGCACCATCTTTTTTTTCCCTTGACCCCACTACCTTTCTGGATCATCTGAGACTGTCCTAAGATTTTGTCCAGTCTGCACTAAGTGACTGTTTCTCAGATACTCTGGGCATGCTTTGGTTTTCCAGCCTTTGCTTAGAATGCTCACCTTAGAATGATACTGTATGAATGACTCTTACCTCCTTTAACTAGCACACCATGAATCCTATTGATATGGTTGGCTCTGTGACCCTACCCAAATCTTATCTTGAATTGTACTCCCATAATTCCCATGTGTTGTGGGAGGGACCCAGTTGGAGATAATTTGAATCATGGGGATAGTTCCCCCATACTGTTCTCATGGTAGTGAATAAGTCTTATGAGATGTGACGGTTTTATCAGGGGTTTCCACTTTTGCATCTTCCTCATTTTCTCTTGCCACCACCATGTAAAAAGTGCCTTTTGCTTCACGCCATGATTCTGAGGCCTCCTCAGCCATGTGGAACTACAAGTCCAATTAAACCTCTTTTTTCCTCCCAGTCTCATGTGTGTCTTTATCAGCAACATGAAAACAGGCTAATATAGTAAATTGGTACCAGGAGTGGGGTGTTGCTGAAAAGATACTGAAAATGTGGAAGCAACTTTGGAACTGGGTAGCAGGCAGAGGTTGGAACAGTTTGGAGGGCTCAGAAGAACACAGGAAAATGTGGAAAATTTGTAACTTTCTAGAGACTTGTTGAATGGCTTTGACCAAAAGCCTGATAGCAATATTGAAAATAAGGTCCAGGTTGAGGTGGTCTCAGATGGAGATGAGGCATTTGTTGGGAAGTGGAGCAAAGGTGACTCTTGTTATGTTTTAGCAAAACCCTGGCAGCATTTTGCCCCTAATGTAGAGATTTGTGGAAATTTGAACTTGAGAGAGATGATTTAGGGTATCTGGTGGAAGAAATTTCTAAACAGCAAGGCATTCAAGAGGTGACTTGGGTGCTATTAAAAGCATTCAGCTTTATAAAGGAAGCAGAGCATAAAAGTTTAGAAAATTTGCAGGCTAACAATGTGATAGAAAAGAAAAACTGATTTTCTGAGAAGAAATTCAAGCCAGCTGCAGAAATTTGCATAAGTAATGAGGAGCCAAATGTTAATCTCCTAGACAATGGGAAAAATGTCTCCAGAGCATGTCAGAGGTCTTCATGGCAGCCCCTCCCATGACATGCCAGAAGGCCTATGCGAAAATGGTTTCATGGGCCTGGCCCAGGGTTCCCATGCTCTGTGCATCATAGGGACTTGGTGCCCTATGTCCCACTCACTCCAGCTGTGGCTGACAGATGTCAACATGGAGCTCGGGCCATGGCTTCAAAGGGTGCAAGGTTTGACAGCTTCCACATGGTGTTCTGTCTGCAAGTCCACAGAAGTCAAGTAGTGGGGATTGGGAACCTCCTCCTAGATTTCAGAAGATGTATGGACATGTCTGGATACCCAGGCAGAAGTTTGCTGCAGGGGCAGGGTCCTCGTGGAGAACCTCTGCTAGGGCAATGCAGATGGGAAATGTGGGGTCAGAGCCCCCACAAAGAGTCCCTATTGGGGTACCACCTAGGGGAGCTGTGAGAAGAGGGCCACCATCTTCCAGATCCCAGAATGGTAGACCCACTGACAGCTTGCACCATTTGCCTGGAAAAGCCACAGACAACTCAATGCCAGCCTGTGAAAGCAGCTTGGAGGGAGGCTATATCCTGCAAAGCCACAGGGGCAGAACTGCCAAAGACCATCATGGGAACCCACCTCTTGCATCAGCGTGACCTGGATGTAAGACCTGGAGTCAAAGGAGATAATTTTGGAGCTTTAAAATTTGCCTGCCACACTGGACTTTGGACTGAAATGGACCTTGTGACCACTTGGTTTTGGCCAGTTTCTCCCATTTGGAATGGCTGTATTTATACAAATCCTGTATCCCCATTGTATCTAGGAAGTAATTAGCTTGCTTTTGATTTTACAGGCTCGTAGGTGGAAGGGACTTGCCTTGTCTCAGATGAGACTTTGTACTATGGACTTTTGGGTTAATGCTGAAATGAGTTAAGACTTTGAGGGACTGTTGGGAAGGCATAATTGGTTTTGAAATGTGAGCACATGAGATTTGGAGGGGCCAGGGGCAGAATTATATGGTTTGGCTTTGTGTCCCCACTCAAATCTCATGTTGATTTGTATTCCCTTGATTCCCATGTGTTGTGGGAGGGACCCAGTGGGAGACAATTTGAATTATGGGGGCGGTTTCCCCCATACTGTTCTCATGGTAGTGAATAAGTCTCATGAGATCTGATGGTTTTATCGGGGTTTCCACTTTTGTATCTTCCTCATTTTCTCTTGACACCACCATGTAAGAAGTGCCTTTTACTTCCTGCCATGATTCTGAGGGCTCCCTAGCCATGTGGAACTGTAAGTCCAATTAAACATTTTTTTCTTCCCAGTCTCAGGTACATCTTTATCAGCAGTGTGGAAATGGACTAATACACCTATGCTCAGCACTTTTTAAAATTATGGTCTCCGTTCCCCACATTCATCACTACTATCCCCTGACATCTCATGGTTCCCTCTCTTACCTTGCATTACATTTTCCAGTAGCACTAATCATCACATAATATACAATGTAATTTGCTTTTTCTTGGTAAATTTTGTTTTGACTTTATGTTTAAACTAGAATTAATGTTGCACAAGGACCTGGAATTTTTAAAGCATTGTGTTCACTGTTGTATCCCAAGTATGGCAATCAATGCCTGGGTCATAGCATGTATTTACTGTATACATGATTATTGAGTGAACGGAGACACTTTGGCTGGAAGTCTGTTAACTCAGTAAAAGCACATGGGTTATTTCTTGAAAGAAATTCCTATTGGAAATTTTAAATACAAAATGGAGAAACAAACTATTTCTTAATAAATATAGTTTGCTTAACATAAACACAAAAGATTGCTAGACACAATCTTTCAAAGGAACATAGGTGAATATTAGTGAAGTCATAGACTCTTGATGGTGAATGTTGTAAATGAAAATATCTTCTAAGAATCCACTAGAGATCTAAAATTTCTTTCTGTTTTATTTTTTTGAGACCAAGTCTCGCTCTGTCACCCAGGCTGAAAGGCTGAAGTGCACTGGGTGTGATTTCGGCTCTCTGCAACCTCCACCTCCTGGGTTCAAGCACCCCTGCCTCATCTTCCTGAGTAGCTGGGATTACAGGCATGCACCACCATGCCCAGCTAATTTTTGTACTTTTAGTAGAGACAGTGTTTCACTATGTTGGCCAGGCTGGTCTCAAACTCCTGACCTCAGGTACTCCACCCACCTTGGCCTCCCAAAGTGCTGGGATTACAGGTGTGAACCACCATGCCTGGCCTGAAATTTCTTAAAAGTGTGTGAATGTGAGTTTTGGGGGGTGTCAAGGGGAAGTCAGGATTGTGTTTTCTGAGCAGAGACCATCATATTGAACCCAGTATTGAACACAGTGTCATAGTAGGTGCTCAGTAAATCTTTATGGATCCGTTTTGAACTAAGTTTAGATAAAAATACTGTCTCTTTTTTAAGCAAGACTGGGAACTTAAGAAGAATTATTTTTATTATTTTATTAAGTGAAATAAACCAATGAGACACAGTATTTTATGCCCTGATTATTTCTCTTCATCAATTTGCCCTTTGTTACCATGGGGAAACTAGAGTCCATAATTAAAGAATTAAACCTCCTTTATTCACTTATGCAGTGCACACTATCACATGCCATTTGATGTTTATTTTCCAGATGAAGGGAGTTTAACTTATTTAGTTTTCTTCTCTTGGGGCCTCAGTTGTCTGACCCACAGAAGCCTCCAGGTTTGTCTGGAAATGACCTCCATTTTCACTTTCCTATGGACTCACTCACCTTTGGGCAGGTAAAGAAAAGTGCTGGGTGATTTAATGAAATCAAATCCTCATCCACCTTGGCTAGCAATAGATGGAGAAGCTCCCTATGGTTAGGAGGGAGTTCTTTCTTATCCCTGAGACACACTTTCTCTTTGCATCCGACAAAGCTGGTTTCAGAGACTGCAGATCTTATTTTCACACATGTGTCCAAGGTGAACCTAAATCCACTCCTTTATTCCCCATGGTACAATCAAGGCATGAAAGAATGATTAACAGGGCTCCCAGATAACAGAACAGAATTAACTCTAGAGGTACCACTTGATATTTTATTATATGGATACCTGGTACCTAACAGTAGTCTCAATTTTCCTACAACCTATCTCCCTTCCTTGCCCCATGTCTAAAAGCTTCCTTGAGTCAAGGGCCAGTTTTCTCCCACCTTCTTTTAAGTATGTTTAGATTCATTAAAATCTTAACTAAAGAGAGTGGGCTCAGAGAATGATGATCATTCCTTGGTCCTGCCCATCTAATCCTTGCCTACAAGGCTTGATTTTCTATAACAGAACCTGCCTCTTCCTTGATGTCTAAAACTGGGAAAAATCAGACCCTTTAGAAGTGACAAAGTTTTTCTTCTCCCAAGGATGTAAACTTAGTTTACAGTTCCGACTAGCAAGCCCTCCTGAGCACAGTGTGACACACCCCACCCTCATACAAATGATACCTCTCTGTGCCTCAATTTCTCATAAGCAAAATGAAGATATACTGGTACCTCTTAGGTTTTGAGTACTAAGTATAAATTACTTAAAAAAAGTACCAAGCACATAGTAAATGCCATTTAAATTCTAACTGCCATTGTATCTTTAGGCTCAAACACAAGTAACCCTAATATAATCTGGGGCTTTATATGAGGCAGTCTTTTGGGGGAGTTGTATTCAAAGTACCACAGACTGACAACCCAAACATAGCTTAAGATAGCTCAGATCTTTACTCTTGATCTTGAGAAGCATCCAGGAAGAGGAAATTTTTTATAATCACAAGAAGAGAACCTGTGGTTGCCAAATGTATTCTGGATCTGATCATGGGGTATTGGATACATGGCAGTAAATCCAGGGCTGAACTGAAGGTGTGTGTACTGGTAGAGAATATAGAAAGCAGATGCAGTGACAGAATGGACAATACATCTTGGAGAAAAGTGAAAACAGTAGTAATAGCTAACATTCATTCAATGCTCACTAAGTTCTAGACACTGCACTAAGATGTGTATATACACTAATTTCATTTAATATTCACAACATTACAATGGGGTAGGCATTATTAATATCTCTATACTTCCACTGTGCCTGTTTTATAAGTAAGGAAGCTGAAGATCAGAGAGGTTAAAGTACTAAACTGAGGCCACACAGCTTCTAAGTGGCAAGGCTGGAAACTTCCAATAAAAATATATCTGTCTGATTCAAGAACCCAATCACCCTATTAAGAGTCAGGCATTGTAAAATGACTTAGATGCCATACGCAAAGAGCTGAAGCTGACAGGTTGTTAGAAATGGGAAGTAGTAATCCAAGTGCAGCACTATCGTTTAAATATGTTTCCCAAATTTCTTGTGTTGGAAACTCAATTCCCCAAATCCATATGTCAATTGGAGATAGGATCTTTGCAAGGTAATTAGGATTAGATAAGGTCATCAGGGTGGAGCTTCCGCTATGAGAACAACAGCTTCATAAGAGAGGAAGAGAGACCTGAGCTGGCATGTGTGCTCTTGCCCTCTCATCATGTGATACCCTCTGCCATGTTATGACACAGCAAGAAGGCTCTCACCAGATGCCAGCATCATGCTCTTGGAACTCCCAGCCTCCAGAACTGTGAGATGAATAAAATTCCTTTCTTTAGAAATTACCTAATCTGTGATATTCTGTTACAGCAACAGAAAATGGGCTAAGACATGGAGCAAGGGGAAGAATGATTCTTGAAGATGCTGAGTAACTTCTGGTATGTTTGCTTTTTTTATATACATTTTGCCGTACTCTTGGGATATGAATTTTTATGCTTAAAACAACAATACTACATGCAATTCTGGGGAAAATATCTTGTAAGTTATGGTGCATGTCTTGTTTGTTTCATCTTTCATTCTACAATGAATATAGAATGTGCTACCACTGAATCATGTACTGTGACTACAGCTTTAAAGAAACTCTGTTACCAAGGACCCCAGAGTCCAGGGGAGGAAAACAACATTTATTATACAATGAAATGAGACATAAAACATAGTTCACCATGAGAAGGAAACCTTGGTCTGCCTCTGGGAGTGAGGCAGGCTTCCTGGAGGAGGTCACCCTTGAGGACAGTTGTAGAAAAAGGAGCAGGAATTTGTTGACTGCATAAGGGGTGTGGAGGAAGGCATTCCAGGCACAGAAAATTGCCCTTCCTCTCTGAATTCCACATCCATCTGGCCTGTGTTAAAATGCTTAAGTATTTACTAAACATGCTTCTTACCAGAGGCAATGCTGTTTTTTAAAGGACACAATTAATTAGGCCTCAGGATATTGGCAATCAGGAAGAGTGTAGCATTGACGATATTTTCCTCAGACTTCCAGCACACATGCTAGCTACCTGCTCCTCCCTCACGGGCTTCAACCTATGCCCTGAGGCAGTTTGACCCTCACATTTTCCTGCCTTGCTTTTGGCCTTGAGAATCCAGGTATCAGTAGGTGCCTTTGCCTTTTTTTGATGGAGCTGTTTTTTGCCTCCTTTCCAGTTGGTGCCCTCCTCGACTCTGGCAGGTGTCCAAGCCCTGTTGTTCTCCCTGCACGGGGCGGCTGAGCAGTGCTCTGTAAATTATGCACCAGTCCCACAATGTCTGGGGAGCCTGTGGACCCATTTTGTCTACCTGGAGGTAAATTATTTAGCAAAGGCAATTTAAATGATTCAGAGGGGATGGCGTGAAGTCCAGCTGTGGAACAGCTTGTCTGGGGAAATGTAACTGACTCTGGCGTGAGGAAGACTCAGCTCCAAGGCAGAACTGAGCACATTTTACCTGCTTCCTAGATCCTGTAGGTTCCATGCCCTACCTGTCTCCAGACACTGTCCCACATTAATAATCATTATAATTTAAAAGTCTATGATCTCATTTGGTGCTTGTTTCACCTCTGCAGCAGGGAGGTTTATAATAGTGTGGTCTGGGGAAGCAAGCTGGGTCTGGACAGGTTTTGTTATGAGTCCCGCTTTTCTAACCTGCTGGACCTCAGTCTCCTCTTCTGTAAATTGGGGATAATAAAAGCAACTTTTAATTGTTAACATCTCCATTTGACTATCTAATCTAAGAAATCTGGCCAAGACAAGCTCCTTAATATTCTGTCCCATGCTGTCCACAAACCTGTGCTAGGAACAGTATCTCCATCTCAGTAAATGAGAACCTTTTACTCAGTTACTCAGGACTCAGCCCTACACATCATGTTTGATTCGCTTCTCTCCTGCAGCCTCCACAGTGAATCTCTTCACTGGTCCTGTCTGCCCTACTCCCAAATGCATAGCCCATGGGATCCTTCTCACCAGGTCTTCTGCAGCTCTCCAGCTGAAGCCTCTGTCAGTTCAGCTGTGCTGTTGAAAAGCCCCCTTACTCATTCTCCTGCAGCTGCCTTTACCTCTCTAACCCTGTCTCATCCCCACCAAGCAATCAAGACGTTCTTTAAAAAATGAACAATAACAAAGAAATTGAATGATATTCTTCCTTCTTAACCCTCTGATGACTGCTAATTACCCTTAAAATAGAATCCATGGACTTTTTTTTTTTTTTTTTAAATCACCTACAGGCCTTACCTGATCGGGCTCCAGCACACCTCTCCCCACTTAACATTAACCCCACTGGCCTTGGGATTCTAGAACATTCCAAACATGTTCCCACCTGAGGGCCTTTGCTGTCGTTGGCCCCTCAGGCTGGACTGGTCCTCCCCTGGCTTCGCTAGTTCCATTTCAATGTCCGGGCATCTGGGGAAATGTTACCTCCTCATGGGACTTCCCTGACAACCTTGAAGAGTCACCTTCCTGTCACACTGTAGTGGCTTTATTTCCTTCACGCCACTTATCCCTACATTCAATTCTGACATTGAGCTTCATGGTTTGTTCACCATCCCCTCCACTGGAAGACAGCTCCTTGCAGGATGGGCTCTTTTCAGTGTTATTCACCATGGTAGCCCCACATAGGGTCATTAGATAAAATACAGGACAACCAGTTAAACTTGAATTTCAGATAAACAATAATTACCTTTTTAATATAAAAATATTGCACAGGGCATACTTACGCTTAAAAAAAAAAAATTTGTTGTCCCTGTATTTTTATTTGCTAAGTATGGCAACCCTAGTCCCTTCAGAACTGCCATCTCTGTTGAGACTTTATAAATACTTGTTGAAAGAAAGAAAGAAATAGTGAGTGAGCAATGAGATCAAATAAAATCTGCAGACGGAATTGCTTTTATCTTTTTGCCTTCATATTCCTAATGTCTTGTCAATGCTTGACATATGATCTTTTTCCCCTTCTTATTATATCGTTAGTTTCATTTTGCAGTTGAATAAATAGGGTTAGAGAATAGAAGGCTTTTCCAGAGTTAAGCAGCTAAGGATAACATCACTGAATATAGAACAAAGTGACTTCTGAAAGGTGTGTTAAATCTGTAAAGGCTTATTTCCCTTCTCCCATAAAAGAAGTTGGCGTAAAGGCAGTCTAGGCCCGGTATGGTGTTTCCAAGACCATGCTTCAATCTTTCTCCTCCAGAATCATCAGACCAGTTTCTAACCTCAAGTTTACTGCATGGTCCTATGATGTCTGCTGGAAAGCCTGTCATCACATTTACATTCCAGGCAGACAGCAGGCGCAAGTGGAAGAGGACAAACATCATTTATTCCCTCCCCTTTAAGACCTTCCTGAAAGTCAGTCACCATGACTTTTCCCATTTCATTGGCTGAAACTTTATCTCATGACCATTCCTGGCTACAAAGCAGCTGGCAATGCCATCATTTCAGGGGTTTCTATGTGCTGTTTTAAATACTGGGGTCTGTTCTTGGGAGCAGAAGAGAATGGACATTGGGAAGCAAGAGCAGCCTCTGCTCCAGCGAGAGTGGGGCAGACAGAAAGATCCCTGGTGTATCCTCAGACTGCTGTACCCTATGCCTGCTCACAGGGCAGACAAGAGCCTTTTAAGGGTGAAGACAGGACTAGACCCTAGCCTCCTGGTCACATGACTCAGAGATCTCCCATATCCTTTTACCTTCTGTTGCATGGAGTGGAACGGGTCAGAGTCTGGGATGTGGATCTTTGTGTTTGTCTGAGACTTTTTCTGTTTGGGAGAGATTGTATCCTACACACAGTATAGAAGACATGGGGGAGGCCCCGAAGCAGTTACTATTGCTGGAAGTAAAGTGTACAGACAGAAGTGGGGACGGGATGGTACTAGAGAGTTAGACACAAGTCGAGTGATGAGAGTTTGTGTCTGGTCTATACAGGATCCTAATAGATCTTAACAGGCTGCAGCAACAGTCTAAGCATAAAGAGGCAAAACTGAACAGGAACAGAACATGTTACACCCAAGTCCAAAAGAAAACTAACAGGATGCACTGATGTGAATTAGTATCTTTAGGATAAAAATGACGGAAGTACTCCAGTAATATTAGCCATAATGTGTAAGGGAGTTATTTTGATCTCAGCCTGCAGAAGCAGAGAATTTCAATGAGGTGAGAGGCATGCTTTGCTATGCACAGGCTAGACCACACCTGTCATGGTCGGTGCCTGCAGTTCTGGGCTCTATATTTTAAAATGAAAAGGACAGACCAAAGTTTTAAAAGGAGAGGAGCCAGGATGGGATTGAAGAATCCTCAGGTTGTATATTTAACATTTTTATCAGTCACTTAGGTCACGCCTGCTTATCAAATTTGTGAATTACTCTAATCTGATAGAGGTGGTAGATATAGTGATAGGCAGAATCAGTCAAGAAGAACAATGAGCCAATTCCAGGCTATGAAACTGAAAACAGATCAAGGTATCTCACCCCCAAAAATGATAAGTATGTGAGTTAATGCATATATTAATTAGCACTATTTAGCCATTTCAGAAAGCCTGCTTATTTCAAACAAAATGCTGCACACAATAAATATATATAAGATCTGTGTCAATCAAAAAATAAAAATTAAAATCAAAGAAAAAAAAAGATGTATTAAGGTAATATCCTGAAGTTTGGAAGAGCAATTCATTGTTCAAGAAAGGGATAAGAGAGACCTGGTACAATGGCTGTTCTAACAACTCAGCACTTTAGTGGGCAGCAGAGCTCATCGAAGTACCAGTGCATCTGTGTGTGTCCCGGGCTGGTGGATGGTGGGCTTCCAAGGAGCCTCCAGGCAGCACTGATACTCATGACTTCACCCAAGCCAGGGGTTTGACTTTGGCTTTGTGGGTTTAGATTTTCAAAGTATTCAAGCTTCCTGGACTTGGGGAGGCTGACTCACACTAACAATGCTTATAGGAGACTGCAGATGCCAAAGTATTGATTTTCAGCATGAATTCTACTTGTTAGGTACCTTAAACCTGATCAGCATACATATGGTTTTTCTTTCATGTAGGAAAACCACATAAGGAAGCAAATAATACCTCTAAGGAGTTTTGAGGAGAATAGAACTGAAAAGACAGATGTGAGTAGTGTGATTCGAACGCTTTTAGAAGAGTCTCATGTGTGCTTCTTCCTTAGGTGAAAGTTCTCAAGACTGGAAACATCTAGATAACCTCTAGCTATGCTAAGCTGCAGGCACTTTTATAGGCCTAGAACCCATTTCGTGTCTTTAAGGTGACTTGGCAGAGTGTGGTTTTGTCCTCTTATTTTTTGACATATTCTGCAACTCAGGAAACAGTCTTGTTTCCATTTCTCTGTAGCACTTGAAGTGCATCAGCCTGCTCCTCCCTTTGCCTCGAGGTCCCACAGTGGCAAGCAGAGAGGAAACCAGCCTGGAGGGGTCTGCTCATTAAGCCTTCATTGCTGTCTACCCCAAGAAAACTCAGAGTCACTGTCTCCTAGGCACTCCTCAGGTAGAAAGAAATCTTTCCTTACCCACCAAATCTGCTATCCTTCAGGGGTGGATTCTCAGGTACCTTCAACCAGCCCCCTGCTCTGTTCCAGCTTCCTGGGCATAAAGGCAAACAGTCCCAAGGTGTTTGGCTTTGACTTTTCCTCATGGCCTCCTTTCCCGGTGAGTGGCCATATATATTCATTCACATGTCCAAGGGGATTCCTCCTTCCATCTCCCGTTTATTGATGTTCTTGTCATATCTCCCCCAGGAGCTTGTTGTGTCAGTCAAGGTCCCAGCAAGAAACAGATGGCACACTTACATGTAGATAATGTGAGATGAATTTAATAAAGGACTATTTACAAAGCTGGGAGCAGGGCTTAGGGAAACCACCAAGAATAGTCCAATGCCAGAGGACTATGAAATCTAGGTGCTATTGTAGGCCTGAAACAGTGCAGAGAGGGGAAAGAGAGCCAGAAGACTGCGGGGGCTATGCGGAAGAAACACAGGACTCCCGGCTTTCAACAAAACTGGCCCATGGAAACCCCATGGCAATAGTAATAAATGCCACAGCCTCACTCACTTCCCTCCTTCTAATCTCCTCCTGATGCACAACATTGGCCACGTGCAGTTGGTAGTCAGTGGTCAAGGGAGCCCAGCAGTGTGGTTTGGGTTCAGCTTCCCCAGGGAATTGCAGGGTGGACAAAGATAGAGAGTGGATTTGGATAGGCAAATAGAATAATCCAGTAAAATCACTGAAGGCTAGACTTTGTTGTCAATGCCTTTATTTTTTGGTTTCCCATCCCACACATAGTAGGTTTGCAGCAGTTGACTTGGCCATGGATTTCTTTCGGTAAGGCATGATCTTTGATCCCTGTATTCCAGGGCCTACCCCAGTACCCCCAAAAGATGCTCCATAAATGTTTATGGGATGACTAGTGAATGAATGAAAGAAGAGGTGAGCTCAGTGGGAATTTTCCCTTAATTTTGCTCACTGTTGCACTCCTTCGAGGTAGCCACTTCCCTGCTTCACTCGTAGGCCAGTTCCAGTTATTAAATTTCTAAATTATCCTTCTGCACATGGGGCTGACTCTCCAATGAGGTCTTGTAAATATTTGCTTCCATCCTCGGAGTCCAGACAAGGAGCTCTTGCCTCAGGCACAGCCTCTGCTCTCTGGGATGTCTCACCTTTTTAGCAGGGAAGGATTCTGCGCCAGATGCTTAACTTGTGTCCTACCAGGGAAGTTCCACGAGGAACATTCTGTGTTCACTTTAGGCAGATTGGATTGGCTTCTCCTTGCTGTACTTCTAGCTAGATGAACTGTTAAACAAACATCTATTACTCATCTGTCATATTCTAGGCACTGTGCTAGTGCTAGCATGTGAGAATGTTCAGGTGGATAAGATACAGTTTGACGTAAGGGACGAGGAGCTGCAGTCCAGAGGGAGGGAAGACAAATAATAAATAATTATTTTACAGGGTAACACAGGCTTTGTTATTATGTTATTATTTTATAATAATTATGGGAGCACAATGGGTAAGGAGGGCACTGTGGGAGCCTGGGTGAGGAGCGCCAACCCACCCGGAGGCTCAAGGAAAGCTTTCTGGAGGAGTTAACACCTGATCTTGTAGGATGGGAAAGAGCAAGATAATAAAGATAAATAATTCCAAGTCAAGTGGTGAGCAAGATCAAAATGACAGACACTTGACATAGCATGATGTGTGCAAGGAAATATGAACTAATCTGTATTATTAGTGATAACAGTTCAGGAATGGGGGTGAGACGCAGCCAGAGGGGCAGGCAGGGGTGAGGATGTGGAAGGTATGGTAAGCTGAGCTAAGGACTTTGCAGCTAGGGTGAGGTGAATAAGGCCTATTTTAGACACAAAATGTAAAAGGGCTCTCAGGTCTCAGTCACTAGGATAAGTAATATTAAATGCAATACTTTAACTAATTAAAATTAATGCAAAAACCCATGGTGAAAAAAATAAAATTTTAAGATTAATAGTATAGAGTGAATTCTTATAATTTCATGTTGCTTCAGTATCCATTTGAATATAACTTTAACTTTCTCATACCAGAAGCAGGCTCAGTCACCCTCGACGCAGTATCCAATTTCACAACTCCTCTTAGTTCTTCAAGGTGGTTAATTCAGCTATCTGGCTTATACAACTCCTGGTGGTTACCTCTCCATGAGACAGCCAGATACAACTGATCTAATTAGCCCCACTGATCTCCACACCCTGTATGGACTGTGCAGGTGTGCCACAGTGGCCACCTCTCAGTCACAGTGTGACCCCCATGGAACTAGTGCCTGCTTGTGCCACCAGTTAGAACTCTCCATGGGAAACCTGCTTGAGTAACTCCCAGGACCCCAATAAAGAATTTGGCTTACGGGTCCCCTTCTCTCTCTCTTGCTCCCCACCTGCTGGCTGAATGCACGTGTCCTCAGTGGTTTCCCCCTTTCCAGTAGCCCTGGGAGGCATACTGCCCCCTGCTCTCTGGAATCTGTAAGTAGTAAATGTGTCTGCCATTTCGTGCTTTGTGTTGTGCTGCCTCCTCTCTGTCTCCCCTGGAAGACACACGTGAGCCTAACTTCTTTCCTGGTCAGGGCTCTCCTATGGAGTGGCTATCTTGGTAGGAGTGAACTGGACACAGCTTCGACAAGAGCCACAGGAACATCTGCAAATATAAGCAAGTTTTCTGTATGGGGAACACCTGACCATGGCCGGACACTTAGGCATTTGGCAGTCTACCAGGATAAAGAAGTATCCCATGAAAAGTATGGTGTAAACATCCAGAAACTGCCTCCCCTGGAGTCCTGTCAGGGCAGGGCTAGAATTTATAGCCACTCTCCAGAGAGAGACTGCAAGGCCAAATTAGAAAGAATTTATATCTTTAATATTTACAAAACACTATGTTACTGATATTTTTTCTTTTGCCTTGGGCATCGATATGGCTCAGCATAGCATTATTACTGAGTCTGTCTTTATTGCAATAAAATGTTACTTATCCCTTCAACAAATAGTGCTGGGACAACTGCATATCCACATGCAACAGAATGAAATTGGATCCCTGCCTCATGCCATACACAAACATTAACTCAAGGTAGATCATAGACCTAAATATAAGGGCTAAAACTGTTGAACTCATAGAAGGAAATGCCAGAGTAAAATGGTGTGATCTAGGGTTTAGCAATGATTTCTTAGATATGACACTAAAACTGCAAGTGATGAAAGATAAGATTTTTAAGTTTTACTTTATCAAAATTAAAAATTGTGTGCCTCTAAGGAGATCATTAAGAAAGTGAAAAACAACCTATCACCCCCCTGCTCTATTATATAGCCATCTAGTGCTCTTAAAATAAGCTCCAGTCCTCCTGCCATGACCTCCCAGTCCTGCAGAGGACCTCTGCCAACCTCTCCAGCTCCATCTCATCTTTTCTCTGTTTTGTGCTCCACCAGCTCAGCCACTTGGGTCTCCTTTGCCAAGGAGTGTCCTCCCTCTGGAACCCAATACCAGCTCTTTCTTCTGTCTGGAATCTTCCCTCAGCTCTTTTAAGGTTAGTTCTGGCTTCTTAGCATTTCATTACATTGTTACATTTTGTGAGACCTCTAAAGGGACCTTCCCTACTTACTATGGATATCATCACTCAGTGCATTAGTTTTCTATTACTGCTGTAACAAAGTGATACATACATGGTGGCTGAAAACAACACAAACTTAGCTGGATGTGATGGCTCATGCCTGTAATCCCAGCAACGTGGGAGGCTGAGGTGGGAGCCTTGTTTGAGGCCAAGAGTTCAAGACCAACCTGGTCAACATAGAGAGACTCCATTTCTAAAAAGCAAAAATTAAAAAAAAAAAAAAAAAAAAAAAAAATAGCCAGAGTAGCTGAGGCAGGAGGATCTCTGGAGCCCAGAAATTTGAGGCTGCAATGAATCATTTCGTGCCGATGCATTCCAGCGTGGGTGACAGATCAAGAACCTGACTCCAGAAACACACACACACACACACACACACACTCACTGTCTTACAGTTCTGTATGTTAGAAATCTAACGTATGTCTCAGTGGGCTAAAATCAAGGTGTTTCAGGGCTGCATTACTTTTAATACAGGACATTTCATTTCCTTGCCCTTCTCAGATTCTAGAGGTTGCCTGTATCCTTGGCTCATGGCCCCTTCCTCCACTTTCTAAGCCAGCCAAATTGTATCTCTGACCATTTCTCTGTAGTCACTTTGTCTTTGGACTCTCCTCTTCTGCCTCCTTCCTTCACTTTCAAGGACACTTGTGACTACCCTGGGCCCACCCAGCCAACCCGGAATAATCTCTCTAGCTTAGGGTCAGCTTATTAGCAACCTTGATTCCAGCTTCAACCTCATTTCTCCTTTGCTGCATAACCTGACATATTCAGAGGTCCTAGGTATGAAGACATGGATGTCTTTAGGGATGGAGGCATTATTTTGCTTACCACACCCAGCTTCAATTCTTCCTTAGCATCTCTGAGACCTTAATCATTCTGTTGGTTAATTGTTTTTCTTACCTGCTAGGATGTAAGACCCTGGGAATCTTCAGCCTGCTGTCATAGGTAAATCTTGAATGTAGATAGGAATGTGAAAAATCGTGTTTCTCAACCATGTCTGTCCATCAGGAGCTATACATTTGTTCATGCACTTAATAACGTTTATTAAGCACCTACCTAGAACCAGACACTGTTTGACTCAGGATGTGTCAGTGAATAAGACAGACCCCAGTCACTACCCTCATGGAGTTTACATCTTTGGTAGAGCTTTAAATAATATAGATGTCTGGGCTCCACCAGCCACTCCAGAAGCCAGGCCACTTGGGTGAAGAACAGCTAATCATTAAATGGCAAGTTAGAATCATTCAAATTATTTTTTCCCACACGTTGGACTATCATTCCAGAGGGAGGGTTTTACTGGAACAGTGCTTCTAAAACCATCTTTGATAAAGGGCAAATTGTTTTCTAATTCCAAACCATTGTGGATTGAAACTTTTGTAAAATACAGTAAAAACAAATTACTAGAAAAATCTAATATTGCTTGGTTATCATGGCAGGGTCAAATGCCTATAAAAGTTTTTCAACACTCTCAATTTCTACACTAATCCCATGATAGATGGATGACAAACAGTTCTCAGAACAGCCCAAGTCCTGAGACACTGACTTAGTTTTAGTTTTTTCATCTGTGAAATGGAGATAATTTTATATATGGAGAGTTATTAGAAGGATACAATTGGGTAATATAAATAAATCACCAAAGTCAGCATTGGCTTAGTAAGCGGTAACTATGAATGTCCATAGATGTTACGCTTCAATAATTCTAAATAATACTTGAATACTCAATTGTTGGTGTCAGAAAATTCAAACAAGGGTCGGGGGTATCCTCCCAGTCAGTCAGAAAGAGGCGTCTTGCTAGGTCGTCATAAAAACAATGTAGATTTTAAATATCTGTGTTTGTTTTTGATTATAAACAGAAACACAGGGAAAATATGCATTTGAGTACTGCTGATGAATAATAATCACTGAGAAACCCCATTTGCCTTTTAAACTCCAGCAGATGTTACCCTTCCCCACTGCAAACCAAGCCCACCCTCAGGCCTATTAAACAAAATGCTGGCTGTCACTGACTGACAAGGTCTGAGGATTGGCTCTTTTTAAACAGCCACAAGGTCGTGGGGATTAAACGTTCTCCAGGGAGTCACAGGAAAAGTAGAATGTCAGCACTGCCTTTTCTCTGTGAAGATGGCTCAGTGACATTTTCAGAAAGGAAGGACTACTGCTACCTGTCAGCACTCAACGGAGGACACAAGGTTAGATGCAAAGCAGGAAGGTTACTCACCACCGGGAGATTGGCGGCGCAGCTGCAGCTTTGTTCCGAGATGCAGTGCTAATGGGGCCGACCTGGAGAACTCATTCAAGGGCTGGGAAGTGGAGACCAAGCCCAAAATGAGAAGCAGCATGGCACAAGGAAGAGAGCAAAAGCTTCGGCAGTAGACAGTTCTGGGTTTAAATCTCAGCCCTGGTATTTGCTGATCCTGTGACCTTAGGCGTGTCACATAATCTCTCAGACAGCAGAACCTCCCTTGAAGGACTGTCATGGGTGTTAGTGATATTGTGTGCGAATGCCTGGCACACATTGAGTGATCGCTGAGATTTAGCTATTGCCAGCTTGTTTCAGGTGCCAACAACAAGATTCAGTGAAAATGCACGTAACCTCCTTTGCCTGCTTGCCACATCGTTTTTAACCTTTGTACGTGAATGACTCTGGTTAATGCTCATATATACAGATACAATCAGTTCTCTTCACCACACACACTGACTGTTTTGTTCCATTATTATCTAGCTACAAAATAATAATCTTTAACAAGAAATTCAAATATGTAAAGTAAGTGTGTGTGATTGTATGCTTGTGTGTGCGGGAGCGCACATGGGAGTTTTTACTGAAGATTTGTAGCATCATTGAAGAAGGTTCTCGCAGTGCCATGCTCCTCATTCTACTGAAGACCCTTGTCTGGCACCTTTTGTTCCTGGAGTATCTACTCTATCCACTTTGCTAAGATGGAATTAGAAAGTCCAAGTCTTTTTTTTTTTTTTTGAGAAGAAAAATGTGGAATAAAAATTATGCAAGTTTCCCAGACTCAACTGAATGTTAAAAACGGATAATGAGTCTTGCAGAGAGGAAATAATCTAATTGAACTGAAAGTATTACACCGCCCTAAAAAAGAATAAAATCACATTTTTTTTTGCAGCAATATGGATGAAGCTGGAGGCCATTATCCTAAGAGAATGAACGCAGAAACAGAAATCCAAATATCACACTTCCTTGCTTGTAAGTGGGAGCTAAACATTGAGTACACATAGACACAAAAAGGGAAACAGTAGATACTGCGGCTTACTTGAAGGTGGAAGATGCCAGGAAGGTGAGGATCAAAAAAACTACCTATTGGGTTCTATGATTATTATCTAGATAATGAAATAATCTGTATAACAAACCCCAGTGACATGTAATTTATCCATGTAACAAACCTGTACATGTATCCTCTGAATCTAAAGTAGAAGTTGGAATTTTAAAAAGACTGCAAAAATCACGACGTTAAACACAGGCCATCACAGCCTTACACGAAAACTACTTCTACAAGGACATCTGCCCAATAACTGCCTGTCCAACCTTGGACTGGCATCAACCTGGTTATTTCTCTCTGTAGCCGTGGATAATTATTTGAGAACAATTATGTATGCTGTATTTTTTTTTCTTTAAAAACCTTTGTCTTCATTTAGTTCCCTAAAAACACACATGCTTTAGTATGGCGTATGTATTCCCATTGAATTGCTTTGTTCCCAAATAAATATATTTTCTTTAAAAAAAATTTGTTTACAGAGGTGCAGGGCTCTGAATTGCCTTCTCTGTGGTGATGAGGGTGGAAGGATTCAAGATATTTACGACCCAGTGAGTTCATCAAAGCACATGGTTAGCTGGGTCATCAGCTTATGAAAAAAGTATCAGGAAAATTAAATTGGACTCTTCTCTGTGCTCTACCATATGTTGGAGGTTAGATAAGGACTATCTGAACTCTCGGAGATACCAATTAAAAAAATAAACCTGACTCTGTTTTTGCTGGCTTGTAGTCTGACATTTCAACCTGAGGACTGTGATAGTTCCAGTATTTGTGAAACATAGTCTGAAGCGTTGAAGTCATTGGCACATCTGTTGGAGTATGTTATGCTTTGGCTCTGTGACTCCACCCAAATCTTATCTCAAATTTTAATCCCCACATGTTGAGGGAGGGAGGCGACTGGATTATAGGGGCGGTTTCCCCCATGCTCTTCTCATGATGGTGTGAGTTCTTATAAGAGTTGATGGTTTTGTGTGTTTGGAAGTTCCTCCTTCACTCTTCTCTCTCCTGCCATTGTGTGAAGAAGGTGGCTGTTTCTCCTTCCGCCATGATTGTAAATTTCCCGAGGCTTCCCCAGCCATGCGGAATTGTGAGTTAATTAAACCTCTTTCCTTTATAAATTACCTAGTCTCAGGTATTTCATTATAGCCGTGTGAAAATGGACTACTACAATGAATTTATACCGGGAGAGGGGCACTGCTGTAAAGATAACCTGAAAATGTGGGAGCAACTTTGGAACTGGTTGATGAGCAGAGGTTAGAACAGATTGCAGGGCTCAGAAGAAGGCAGACGATGTGGGAAAGTTTGCAGTTTCCTAGAGACTTGTTGAATGGTTTTGATCAAAATGCTGATAGTGATGTAGACAATGAAGTCCAGGCTGAGGGGGTTCTCAGATGGGGATGAAAAACTTCTTGGGAACTGGAGCATAGGTCACTCTTGCTATGCATTAGCAGAGGCTGGCATCATTTTGCCCCTGCCCTAGAGATCTGTGGAACTTTGAACTTGAGAAAGATGATCTGAAATTGGAACTTATATTTAAAAGGGAAGCAGAACATAAGAGTTTGGAAAGTTTGCAGCCTGTGAGTCAATTAAACCTCTTTCCTTTATAAATTACTCAGTCTCTGGTATTTCTTTATAGCAGTGTGAAAATGGACCAATACAGAGCTGCCATATTCATAGATTCTGAGAGCCCATTTGTAAGACA